TCTTGCTATTTTGCACACGCTAGGCCCTTGTTCTTGCTATTTTGCACACGCTAGGCCCTTGTTCTTGAACTTTTCCACACGCTAGGCTCTTGTTCTTGCAATTTTGCACAGGCTAGGCCCTTGTTCTTGCAATTTTGCACACGCTAGGCCCTTGTTCTTGAAATTTTGCACACGCTAGGCCCTTGTTCTTGCTATTTTGCACACGCTAGGCCCTTGTGCTTGCAATTTTGCTCATGCTAGGCCCTTGTTCTTGCAATTTTGCACATGCTAGGCCCTTGTTCTTGCTATTTTGCACATGCTAGGCCCTTGTTCTTGAAATTTTGCACACGCTAGGCCCTTGTTCTTGCTATTTTGCACACGCTAGGCCCTTGTTCTTGCAATTTTGAACACGCTAGGCCCTTGTTCTTGATATTTTGCACACGCTAGGCCCTTGTTCTTGCAATTTTGCACACGCTAGGCCCTTATTCTTGCAATTTTGCACACGCTAGGCCCTTGTTGTTGCTATTTTGCACACACTAGGCCCTTGCTCTTGCAATTTTGCACACGCTAGGCCCTTGTTCTTGAAATTTTGCACACGCTAGGCCCTTGTTCTTGCAATTTTGCACAGGCTAGGCCCTTGTTCTTGCAATTTTGCACACGCTAGGCCCTTGTTCTTGCTATTTTGCACACGCTAGGCCCTTGTTCTTGCAATTTTGCACACGCTAGGCCCTTGTTCTTGCAATTTTGCACACGCTAGGCCCTTGTTCTTGAAATTTTGCACACGCTAGGCCCTTGTTCTTGCAATTTTGCACTCGCTAGGCCCTTGTTCTTGCAATTTTGCACTCGCTAGGCCCTTGTTCTTGCAATTTTGCACACGCTAGGCCCTTGTTCTTGCAATTTTGCACACTCTAGGCCCTTGTTCTTGCTATTTTGCACACGCTAGGCCCTTGTTGTTGCTATTTTCCACACACTAGGCCCTTGCTCTTGCAATTTTGCACACGCTAGGCCCTTGTTCTTGAAATTTTGCACATGCTAGGCCCTTGTTCTTGCAATTTTGCACATGCTAGGCCCTTGTTCTTGCAATTTTGCACACGCTAGGCCCTTGATCTTGCAATTTTGCACTCGCTAGGCCCTTGTTCTTGCAATTTTGCACTCGTTAGGCCCTTGTTCTTGCAATTTTGCACTCGCTCGGCCCTTGTTCTTGCAATTTTGCACTCGCTAGGCCCTTGTTCTTGCAATTTTGCACTCGCTAGGCCATTGTTCTTGCAATTTTGCACACGCTAGGCCCTTGTTCTTGCAATTTTGCACATGCTAGGCCCTTGTTCTTGCTATTTTGCACACGCTAGGCCCTTGTTCTTGCAATTTTGCACACGGTAGGCCCTTGTTCTTGCAATTTTGCACACGCTAGGCCCTTGTTCTTGCAATTTTGCACACGCTAGGCCCTTGTTCTTGCAATTTTGCACACGCTAGGCCCTTGTTCTTGCAATTTTGCACACGCTATGCCCTTGTTCTTGCTATTTTGCACACGCTATGCCCTTGTTCTTGCAATTTTGCACACGCTATGCCCTTGTTCTTGCTATTTTGCACACGCTAGGCCCTTGTTCTTGCAATTTTGCACGCGCTAGGCCCTTGTTCTTGAAATTTTGCACACGCTAGGCCTTTGTTCTTGCAATTTTGCACACGCTAGGCCCTTGTTCTTGAAATTTTGCACACGCTAGGCCCTTGTTCTTGCAGTTTTGCACACGCTAGGCCCTTGTTCTTGCAATTTTGCACACGCTAGGCCCTTGTTCTTGCAATTTTGCACACGCTAGGCCCTTGTTCTTGCTATTTTTGCACACGCTAGGCCCTTGTTCTTGCAATTTTGCACACGCTAGGCCCTTGTTCTTGAAATTTTGCACACGCTAGGCCCTTGCTCTTGCAATTTTGCACACGCTAGGCCCTTGAAGTTTTGCAATTCTGCTAGACTGGCCCACGTGAAGTCGGAGCTGCAGAAGAGACACACGTGCACAGACCTGGGTGAGCTGCGCAGCTATCTTGGCTTGCAGATCACTCGGGACAGAGCACGGCGCACCATTACCTTGACTCAGTCACACATGGTGCAGCAGGTCCTTCAGCACTTTGACTTCACGTACTCCTCGCCTCAGGCCACTCCTCTGTCTACTCGCCACTCGCTCTCAGCTCTGCCTTCAGATGAGCCCGTAGAGCCGAGTGGCCCGTACCCAGAGCTTGTTGGCTGCCTCATGTACCTGATGACCTGCACTTGACATGACCTGGCATACCCTCTTAGCATCTTGGCACGCTATGTTGCTCTTGGGAGACACCGACCAGAGCACATGGATGCAGCTAAGAGGGTGTTGCGCTACCTGTGCAGTACGTCGGGCATGGGGCTCGTGCTTGGAGGACGGGCTCGAGTTGTCCTCACTGGTCACGCAGACGCTTCCTGGGTTGACGACTTGGCTACGCAGCGGTCGTCACAGGGTTACACCTTCATCCTTGGTTCCGACTCTGTTTCGTGGCGGTCTACCCGCTCGTCTTCTGTTCTCAGCTCCAGCTGTGAGGCTGAGATCTACGCTGGGGCCATGGCTGCACAGGAGTTACGATGGCTCACCTACCTGCTGACCGACTTGGGAGAGCGGCCTCGTTCTCCTCCAGTTCTGTACGTCGACAACAAGGCCATGCTTGCCTTGTGTCAGGAGCACAGACTGGAGCACAAAACGAAGCACATTGCTCTGCGCTACTTCCTTGCTCGAGAGTTGCAGCAGCGTGGTCAGCTTCGTCTTGCTTACGTGGCCACTCGGGCCAACACTGCTGATATCTTTACCAAGGCACTTCAGCCTTGTGATCATCAGCGTTTTTGTACTATGTTAGGTCTTGTGCCTACCTGGCCCCACTTGCTCACCTCTTCACTTTGCTTGTACTGTGATCTATATATACTTGCACCTACATGCTTACCATTGCTAGGTTGAGATCACTGTCTTGCTTGTTCACCTTGATTTATAACTCTGCATGTGAGCTGGCCTTGTGGCCTTGTACTTGTGCTCAGAATGCGTGGTGACGTCGTGATCCACCCTGAGATTGACCTTGCCTTGTTCTCTTGCTTGTCCCCCACTTTGCCTATGGGGGTGTGTCAGAACTATATTGTAGGCTGTAGTGGGGCACTCCTTATGGGATACAGTATTGTTAGGTTTTGACCATAGAAACCTTGTACTCTCCTGTTTCTAGTCATTCTCGTTTCTTACTTTGTGACAGTCTGCGCACACACGGACAATGTTAAGAGGCAGTGGTTAGTCAAATGATTGAAAAAACACAACACGCACACGGTACAGTAATTCGGCACTTACGCTCGGCAGTCTTCTGGGCAATCCTCGTCTTTATGCGCACGCTCATATTCCACCGTTTCCGAAACCGCTCCGACAACCGCTGGCTGCCCTTCCACTTCACGTCGGGGAACAGAACCTTCATGTACTCCTTCGACCACTCCTGCAGGCGACCGACGGAGACGGCAGTTCCTTTGCGGCGCCACTCGAGAAGCCTCGCGTAGACTTTCAGCTCCATCGGCCTGTACCACGATGCCCTTCCGCGCCCATGCATCCGCTTCCATGCTGAGTGCGCTTCCTTGAGCATGGCGGCGGCTTTCTTCCACTCCGCGAGACACTTGCGGTGGATTCCTGACTCGTGAGACAACGACCGCAGCGACACCGCCACATCCATGCGCCCAATCCACTGCAGCTTCTCCTGCGCGGTATAAGCGTTGCACTTATGCTGCGACGTCTTGTGCCTGGGAGAGGGTGGGCGGGAATCACGGTTCTCAGAAGAGGGGTGGGGGCGCTTGCGGTTAACCGGAGGAAACGTAGAAATAGGGAGCTTCTCGGGAAGTCCGTCGCGCGACCAATACTCCACACCGTCGTCGTCCTCGCCGCCCGGGGCACCCTCGGAAAACACATCTGCCGCGTTGCCGGCCTCGGCGCCAGTGTCGGTGCCGGCCTCGGTGCCAGCCTCGGTGTCGGACACATCGTCGTCAGCGCCCACAGCAGATTTGTCCCACGCACAATCTTGCGGCTGGCCCCATCATAGTGCCGGGGCCGGAGCTGAAACCCAGACGTCGGGGGGCTTGTTGCTGTCAGGTTCCGACAGGTACTCGTCGAACGCCAACGGGTGCAGGAGCGTCCGCATGGGAGGATTTGATGTGCCGGCAAACACGGGTGGACTCGGAGGAGCAGGTGGAGCTGGAGGTGCAGGAGGACATGGAGGAGATGGCGACGCAGGCGGCGCCGGAGGCTGCGGTGGCTCTGGGGGCGATGGTGGGATACGGATATACCAGCCGTCAGCGTCCACACGGAAGGCGGGCCTAGGCTTCTTCTTGAAAAGGAAGTGGGTGCCAGTGAATTCCGCCGTGGCTTTCGCAGCCTGGCGGGCGTAATATGCTAAACTGATTCAAAACCAGCAAGAAATGAGAAGAAATGGACTTCAGACGGGACCCCTGCGGGGAAGCGGCTCGCCCTCCTCGTCAATGATAGACGGGTACCCCCACAGCCTGAACCCGCAGAGGATGAAAATGGGCGGCACACATGCTGCGGTGGCAGGGAATATTCGATCTCCTTCTAGAGGGATCGGATGAGCTGTGCCTGCCTGGCAACGCATGACAAGGGATTGGGCCGCACGGCAGCTTCCGAGTCAGCGTTGGCAGATGCGTTGCTCCGGGACAGGATTTGTGCGGTGGGAAATCGAGTCGCTGCTGTTTTCGCCTGCATTTCATGCACGAAACCGACGTGAACGTTTGATGGGAAAATTCGCCTTAATGAGAGCTTCGACTTGGTACCCTTACAACCAAAATTCATTATTTAGGTTTTATAAGCGCATGCTCTTATGCCCTTTCCTCAATTACAAGCGCACCCCCTAAAAAAATCGATTTTATTATAAACGCATATGCGCTACTATCCGGGGCGATACCGATACGGTACTTACCGTACCTACGTCGACTGAACAAAGGCTAATCCACCACCACCAGCTAGTACGGTAAGCTAGTCGTCGTCTTCTGAGGGTCGCCCGCCGGAGAAAAGGTAGGAGGCGGGCAGGTGCAGCACGCGGCCCGACATGATGGGCGGCATGGAGCGATCTATGGGCACAAACCCTCGCGAAGGGGGTGACGGGTCGTTGGCCTCTGGGGGCCCGGGGGGGATGTCGCAGTGGGGGCGGGCGAGGGTACCGCAGCAGAAGAGGTGTGCCATGAGGTGCGCCATGAAGAGCTGCATGCGCTGCGGCTGCTCCACGTCCTCCTCTGCCGACAGCATCGGCGGCACCGCCGCGTGCAGCGCCGCCTTCTCCCCCTCCGTGTCCCGGCTGTCGGCAGGCGGGCCAGACGCGTCCATCAGCAGCGGGGTCAGTGCCGCCGCCACGCTGCCAATGCTGGGTTGGGGTGGCTGGCTGCCTTGGTGGTGCTGCAGTGAGTGAGAGGTCCCACCCCCCACGCACACCCGACAAGGCGAACCCGCTTCAGGCACTGATGGGGTCGTAGGGGCTTGCTAATCAGCTCTCAATCCAAGCGTCTAGGGTGGAACAGGCAGCAAGCAGCAGCTTCGTCACAATCGCAAGGAGTTTGTGGCGCTGTTGGCACTCCGTACAGCTCCCTGCACTCCCACGCCCCTGTGCACTGCGCAGCGCAAGGTCGTGCCGTCACAACGCGGCGACCATCCCTGCTGCCACCATGCGTGTGGCGCTGCCAGGCAGAGAGTGATGGGGTTGACTGGAACGAGGGGGCGAACGGAAGGAGATAGATGGCACCAGAGCGAGAGTGAATAAGCATGGGGGGTGAACACAGGAGAGTAGGCCTGGCGAAAATAGGAATGGGGAGAGTAGGAATGGGAAGAGTAGGCATGGGGGATCGAACGTGGGGAAACTAGGGAGGGAGAAAGCATTGGGTGTATGATTGAACGTGCCAGGATGGATGAGTGTATGATTCAGGACAATGGCGGCAGCGCGTTGGCCAACCAGTGTGGTGTCATGCTCACGTGTCGCGCCATCATGGCTCAGAGCATCTTCGTTCATCGCGGAAGACATGAGACGAACGACGCGCACGCACACAGAGATCACCGCATGCACACGCCGTGCACACGCCATGCACACGCCATGCACACGCCATGCACACGCCGTGCACACGCCGTGCACACGCCATGCACACGCCGCGCACACGCCGTGCACGCAACACACACGATACGACAGCTACGAAACCAACCCTGATTGGTCTCATCGTCGCCAGAAAGCGCGAAGCAAAGCGACATGGTGAGCTGGAGGAACGACGTTACCAAGTGAGAGGCGAGAATAGCGTGCGCCGCGAGTGAATTAACAGGACTTGGATCAGCCGCGCCGACAGGTGGATTGCCCGCCGCGACTGCCGCTGCCTCGTGCAGGCAGCCGCCGATGAACGTCGCGCGCCAAAAGAGAAGATTATTTCGATGCTTCCCTCCTGTTGCGCCTCACGCGCTGCTTGTTCGCCGCGAGTCTGAAAATGAAAACGACGTGTGATGACGCTGAGATGAAATATAGCAGTGGTGGCTGATGGGAAGGGGGAGACGAGACAGCGCCGACAATATGTGCTCGCCGCTCAGTTCCCCTCAAGCCCTCAATTGCTCCATACCTCCACCCAACCTGGCTGGTTCGGGCACAGGGGAACCTCATCGTCTAGACTCGGGAACTCTGGGGGACAGCAAATTAAGCCATTCGAAGCCCTGTGGTTCAGGTGGCGGTGGCGAATGTCGATAGCAGGCGAAAGTTTTGGCGAGATATCATGGAATTTTTCAGGTTCGCACAACGTAGCAGCCAGTCAAAATGAGGGTATTGACGAAGGTCGAGATGTTTACGTGTTGCCCTGATTTCGCGAACCTCGATATTGGTTTCTCGAAAGTCCCACCCGAACCGAAGCAAAACATCCAACCTCGCTAATTAATTTGAACCACAAAGACCAACTTTTCGTTTGAACAACCTCGCCTTGTCCGCCTTTCCCGTTCCGCCACCCCAAACCAGAGAGGTAGAGTCGCGAGATGAGGTCCCGTTGGTCGCACAGTACCCATCTAAGCAACGACCAGGACTACCCCCTTCGCGAACATACATAGATAAATCTTCTGCTCATTGCGAACCGCTTTGACCGCTGCATCTATCGCGGCGGTGCACGCTAAGCGCATTGTAGCGCGTGACGCGGCAGCGCGCGAGCAGCATGTCGCGCATGGTGCAGTGCCCGCGGTGTCGCGCCATCCTGCAGGAGCCGCCCATGGGGCACCCCTTCTACAAGTGCGGCAGCTGCCTCACCGTCCTGCAAGGTGACTCCTCCCCGCCCCGCGCTTGCCCTCCCGCCCCGCCTCTCGCCTCCCCCCATTCGTTCGCTCCATGCATTCTCACCTTGCAAACCCGCTCCATTTTCTTTCGTCCGACAACTCCCCTTGCTTTCCCCATCCTCTCCGCTGCCCCCTCTCTCCTTTCCCCCGCATTTCCGCCCTCGTGCTCCCGCCTTCAGCGAAGCACGCGGTGGGCGTGGGGGGTCCGCGTCATCCGGTGGGCGTGGACGTGTCGCTGCCGCGCGCCTCCTCCTCCGCCAACCTCTCTGCGCCTTCTGCTGCAGCACCGCGCGGAGAGGGCGAGGGGCAGCGGGAAGCCGCGGGAGCAGCGGGTGCGGGCGGCGAGGGGGCGAGGTTCAGCCATGACTACAGCAGGGGCGCTGGGGGGGGCGACGCAGAGAGGCATGCGTCGCAGCAGCAGTCGCAGCAGTCGCCGCAGCAGTCGCCGCAGCAGTCGCCCGCGCACGCGATGGTGCCTCGCCAGCGCACCATGCCTTCGCGCCTCTTCCCCGCCGCCCACTCCGCCCACTCGCCCTCCCCATTCTCCCTCGCCGCGCCCTCCTCCCCCGGCCTCAGTCGCCCTGGCAGCACTGACCGCCCCGCAACCCCAAGCGGAGCAGAGGGGGCGGAGAGCGACAGCGAGCGCGCGGGCCAAGGCGTGCTCCCCCGCCACACCACTCTCCCCCCGCGCTTCCCGCACGCCTCCCGCTTCGCACAGCCTCTAGGCCAGCCGCCTCCGGGCCTGCGCACGGCCTCCCCAGACCCGCGCGCGCCTGCAGCAGCGGAGGCGAGCCGGGGGAGGGAGCGGGGCAGTGGGGCGGAAGGGGAGGAAGAGGGGAGCGGGGGCGAGGAGGGGGAGGACGTGGCGGAGCTGCGGCGGCAGGTGACGATGCCAGGGGGGGCGGCGGGGGAGGGCGGGCGGTGGCGGGAGATGGGCGCGCCAAGCAGGGGGCTGCTGAGACAGCTCACAGACCCCCAGGAGAACCGACCCACCGCCAGAGTGGTGCAGAGCGGTGAGGCAGGAGGGGCGAGCGATGGGGCGGACGGGCAGGAGAGGGAGGGCGGAGGCATGGGCGCGGGCATGGGCATGGGCGCGGGCATGGGCATGGGCATGGGCGCGAGGGCAGGCGAGTGGGGTGAGAGTGCATCAGCAGCAGGGTCGAGCGTGGGGGCATCGCCCTCGCTGCTCCACATTCTCACACGGCAGCGGTCACAGCACAGCAGAGCGGGCGAGCAGGAGCGGGGCGCAGGGCGGGGCGAGGAGGACGAGGGGGAGGAGGAGCACGGGATTGGGGGAGCGAAAAGAGCGGCAGAGAGGGGGGGAGTAGTAGGCGGGGGTGGTATGAGCGGCAGCGGGCGTGGGGGAGGGGGGAAGGTCAGGGGCAGTCATGAGGGGCCGTACCTGGTGCGGCTGAAGGGCGAGGACGAGGGGGAGGAGGGTGGAGGAGAGCTTGTGGGGCGCAGTGAGTGGCGTGGTGCTTCGGCCGCCAGCAGCAGACACTCTTACGACTCAAACCCTGATTTGACCATGGCTATGAACGGCATGAGCATGGGCATGGATGGTGTGGGCATGGGCATGGATGGCATGGGTGCGGGCAGCAGCAGCAGCAGCAGCAGCAGCGCGCTCATCCGGCAGCGCACCATGCCTCTGCCCTGCCCCTCCCACCGTGCGCTCTCTGCTGCGCCCTCCCTCCTCCCCGGTCACTCCCCCACGCCCTCCCCCATGGTGGGCGCAACACACAGCGCGGGCAGCGGCGCGGGCAGCCCCTATGCCTCCGCGGACGCCCCCTCGTGGCTGCCCCGCCAGCACACCATGCCCGCCTCCCTCCCGCCCCCTGTGCCCGCCCCTGCCTCCCCCGCGCCCGCCTCCCCCGCCTCCGCCTCCAGAACCGCTGCAGGGGCAGGGGGAGGCTCAGGGGGAGGCACAGGGGCGGAGGCGGGCGGGGCGGGCGGGGGGAAGGGGCTGAGGGAGCGGAGGCCGCTGGCTTCGAAGCTCAAGGCGCTGCTGGAGTTGAAGCCGCTGAGAGGGGCGGGGGGGGAGGGCGCGGGCGAGGGGGGCAAGGGGGCGAGTGCATGGCGGCTGGGGGCCGTGGGGCAGGTGAGCCCGCTGCAGGGCGCTGCCCGGTACGTCCAGCAGGCCTTCGCCCCCCGCTCGCCCAAACCCGCCAAGGCAGCGCCGGCGCAGAGGGAGCGAGGCCGGGAGGGGGCGGGCAGTGCAGGCGTGGCAGGAGGGAGGGGCGATGAGGGCGCGGGCAGAGGGGTGGGGAATGGTATGGGCGAGGGGATGGGGGAAGAGGAGGAGGGCGAGCAGTGGGGGATGCAGGGGGTGGTGGCGCGGAGGAGGGGAGGGGTGGAGGAGCAGGAGGTGTGGAACAGCGGTGCTGTTGCCATGTCGGAAGGCAGAGGCATGGGGGGCGGGGGCATGCAGCCACACATGGGCATGGGCGTGGGGATGGGGTTGCAGTCTTATTCCATGCACATGGGCCCTCCCAGAGGCGTGGGGATGGGCATGGGCGTAGGCATGGGGGTGCAGTCGAATTCAATGCACATGGGCCCGCCAACAGGCGTGGGCATGGGCGTGGGCATGGGCATGGGGGTGCAGTCATACTCCATGCACATGGGCATGCCCTTGCGCTCGGCCTCCCATGCGCAGCCCACGGCAGGGGACCCGGGCATGGGGACGGGCATGGGTGGCGGCAGGAGGAGCATGGGGGGAGGTGGCGGGGGCGCAAGGGACGAAGCAAGGCCGGCGGTGGGGGAGGAGGGCGGGGGCGGTGGCGCGGTGTACAGGAGAAGCGCGAGCTCGAGGGGGCTGGAGGAGGGTGGGGCCATGGGGGCGGTGGGGCAGGGACGCAGCAGGGACATGGCTGGTGCGATGGGCGGGAGGGAGGCAGGGGGGTGGGGCAGTGGGGACGCGAGGAGTTGGGGCAGTGCGGGCAACGTGGCAGCAGCAGGACGAGGAGACGGGTACGGGGCGGAGCAGAGCTTGGATCGCCTTGCTGACAGCCATAGTGTGGGCAGCGCCCCCCCCCCGCAGCATCAGCAGCAGCAGCAGCATATGAGATTTCTCAAGAGTGATACAGCAGCGGGGCGCATGGAGGGCGAGCGAGCAGCAGTGGCAGCTGGGGCGGGTGCGGGGCCCACAGGCAGTGAGGGCCAGGCGTCGTCCCAGGTGCCACCGGACCTGCCGTGGCTTCCCCCGCCAGACGCCCCCCAGTTCGTGCAGGTCAGTCAGAGCGGGGGATGGGTGAGCGCACATGAGCGCCTGCACTGTGAGCACACATGAGCGCCTGCACTGTGAGCGCACATGAGCGCCTGCACTGTGAGCGCACATGAGCGCCTGCACTGTGAGCGCACATGAGCGCCTGCACTGTGAGCGCACATGAGCGCCTGCACTATGAGCGCACATGAGCGCCTGCACTATGAGCGCACATGAGCGCCTGCACTATGAGCGCACATGAGCGCCTGCACTATGAGCGCACATGAGCGCCTGCACTATGAGCGCACATGAGCGCCTGCACTATGAGCGCACATGAGCGCCTGCACTATGAGCGCCTGCACTATGAGCGCCTGCACTGTGAGCGCCTGCACTGTGAGCGCCTGCACTGTGAGCGCCTGCACTGTGAGCGCCTGCACTGTGAGCGCCTGCATTGTGAGCGCCTGCACTGTGAGCGCACCAAAGCCCCTCCACTTGCCACCTGCGACCTTCCTGCCCCATCCCCTTGCCTCCCTCACCACTTTGCATGCCCCTCTTAAACTCTCGTCTTTTTCTCCGTCATTTCCTTGTGCCTCCGCCACCCTTGCCCCCTCGTCCGTCCCCCGTGCTCACTGCAGTGCCAACACTGCGGGCAGACGCTAGCAGTGCCGCAGAATCTGCCGCGCAGCCGCAAGAACAAGATGGTGCAGCGCCTCAGGTGCGGCAGCTGCCTCGCCATCTCCTCCTTCGCCATCCCGGACCCCCCTTCCTCTCACCCCCCCTCCTCCGCCGTCCCCTCCGCCCACCCCTCCTCCGTCCTCCCTTCCTCCTCCTTCCCCGCCTCCCACTCCCTGCCCCTCCACCTCCACTCCTCTCCCTCCCACACTTCCCCAGAACCCTCACAACCTGCTCGCCCTCCTGCCTTCACCCCACAACAGCCTCAGTATAGCCAGCAGCAGCAGCAGCCACAACAGTATAGCCAGCAGCAGCAGCAGCAGCAGCAGCAGTATAGCCAGCAGCATCAACAGCAACAGTATAGCCAGCAGCACTATAACCAGCAACAGCAACCGCAGCAGCAGCAGCAGCAGCAGGTGCGCATGAGTGAGAGGGAGTGGCAGCAGCAACGGCAGGCAGCAGGCCCCATGAGCCGCTCCTCCTCCTCCCCGGGCATACACCCCCACGCTGCTGCTGCTGCTGCTGCCTCCCCCGCCCTCTCCTCCTCGCCCTCCCCCCTCCACCTCCCCCACCACCACCTCCCCGCCGCCCCTTCCTCGTCGTTTTCCTCCGCTCCACCTGCTGCTGACTGGACACCTCCCCCCGCTGACTGGACACCGCCCCCTGCTGACTGGACGGAGCGGGCAGCAGATTCCCCCGTGATGAAGCGCCTGCAGAACGGGGCGCGGGCGAGGGGGGCGTGGGAGGAGCCGCAGCCGCGCGGGGCGGCAGGAGCGGGCGGCAGAGTGCAGGGCGGGCTGGAAGAGGAGCTGGGGGCGAGGTGGCAGGGGGAGGGGCAGTGGCGGGCCGGGCGGCAGGAGTCGTATGGGAGTGGGAGTGGGGGAGAGGCGTACTGGGAGGAGGGGGGGTCGTATGGGAGGGGCGTGGTGGTGAATGGCAGCCCCATTGCTGATGGCCTCGTGGCCCAGGCTGAACTCACTGCCGGCCCCATCCTCCCCGGCCACTACTGGTACCACCCACCCACTCATGCCCGCCCCATGCTGCTGCCATGCCACCATTCTTTTTCCGCCTTGCACGGTGCCCCATGAACCTTGCACCTTGCGCTTTGCCTATTGCGCCTTTCACCGTGCATTGACACACACCGTGCATTGACACACACCGTGCATTGACACACACCGTGCATTGCCGCTGTCCTCGTGCCGCGCCTCTCACCTGCGGCACCGTGCCACCCACCATTCTCCCCTCCCCCTCTCTCCCAGGTACGACCACAGAGCTGGCTTCTGGGGGGTCGTGGGCGGCCCGTGTCTCGGCATCATCCCCGTAAGCCATTCTTGCTCCCCCTCCTCGCACCACCCACCTATCACCCTCCTGCTACCATCGCTGTCACCCCCCTGCTACCGCCTCCTGTGAGTCGCACCACTCCCATCCCAACCCCCCCCCCCCCCCCCCCTGGCACTCCCGTGCCTGCGTGTGTGTGCGTGTGCGTGTGTGTGCATGCAGGCGCGTCTGCCGCAGTTCCCAGAGGTCATGCAGCGAGAGTGTTCGGGCGGCAGGACGGGAGTGGTGGTGAACGGCAGGGAGCTGCAGCGCCGCGACCTCGACCCTCTTGTGCGCCGCGGCGTGCCAGCGGTGCCGCACCGCGCATACCTGTTGGACCAAGACGGCCGCGTGCTGGACGCCGCCTCCGGTGCCCTCGTCGCCAACCTCAGCCCCCTCGCCCCGTCGTGAGTGGCTGTCTCGTCGCAGGGTGTTTTTGAGAATTCTCAAAAACACCCAGCAGTGCCGCACCGCGCATACCTGCTGGACCAAGACGGCCGCGTGCTCGACGCCTCCTCCGGCTCCCTTGTCGCCAACCTGGGGCCCCTTACCGTCGTGAGTCGCCCTCACACCCCGCCGTGTTGCTCGGCTGTCACATGCTCATCCTCGTGACTGTGCAACGTAGATGATGTTTGTTGTAAGGTGACTGTGCATGCTCCAGATGCAGCTGGCACCTGCTTCTCTCTTTTCAGTTGCACCGTATCCTCGTGCTCCTCCCTTCCCGTACAGGCTGAAAACTAAGCGTGGGAATGGCATGTTCACTCCACAAACAAACTGATTATTGGCTTGGGTTTGGAATGGGTCAGAATCCAGTGTTTTGTGTAGGTTCTTCCATCACCTTGCAGTTGAATGAAGCATTTGCAAGCAGGCAAATCCTCCTTTTCGTTCTTGAAGTAGTTTTGTATTGTTGCCGCCAAATATATAAACACCGTATCTATATCACATCGACACACTTGTTCCGAATGTGTGTACTCCGAAGTGTTCCCAACGATGCGCGGGAAATTTACCCCTCGTACACCAAAGCGCGACGCGGTCAGTACTCGAGGGGTCCCCCTGGGCTTGCCCTGGATCAGATCGTCAAATCCCGAAGGCTGTCACCGAGGCATGTTCGGCTGCCACAGGGGATCGACCGAGGGATGGGGGGAGGGATCAGATTTGCAGCTAGGGTTTCTAGTTCGGGGTGGTCAGCTCGGAGTCAACCGTCGTTGACTCCAAGTCTGGAGTCCAGGCGGAAGCGGAAAGTTTGGGGGAAAAGGCGCGGAGGAGCGACCCGGGAAATGGGGGCCCACGAAACTGCAGCCGCGCGAAACGAAACTTTGCGAGCTGAACAGTTTTCCCGAATTTACTGTTGCGATTTGTGTGGGTAGCTTGCTCTACTTGAATTCTGTACACCATAAATTAATTAAAGGGTGTAAAGGACGATTCGACCTTAGTTAATTTTGGCTAGTTCATTTCGAATTTTTGTGTTTAGCATTATAATTTCAATGTCCGGGTTATTTGTTTTTAAGAGTGTGGAGTAAATGTATACACGAAAATTGTTGAAGGGAGCATGAATTTTTCATTCCCCGTGGGCTGAGACCACCCACGGGAATGCACTTTCCATGCCCTGAACACTAGGGCGGAGTTTTTCCGCCATGGGGGGGAATTGGGGGGAGGACGCGGCGCGGGTTCAAGCCTAGCGCGGGGTTCGCGTCGCGTTTTAGGCTCACGTCCGACACTTTTTTTCACAATTTTCATGTCTGACCGAAGTGTTCTGCCTGGTTCGAACAGATCGAACCAGCAGGCTCGGCGTTCTGATGCTCCATCCCATCCCCTCCCTCCATCCCCTGTGGCAGCCGAACATCGCCCGAGCCGCATGGGAAGGGGCGGTGGCAGAAAGCGACCTGACATGTCAATGTCGAGGCGAGGTAAAATCCAGAATTCAGTCAGACATTTCTTTTCGAGAATTTTGCTCAATTTCGCGGAAGCGCGTTTCATTTTATTTTCGCCACGTGGCAAGCCTTCGATCGCGCGAACCGCGATTTGTTTTATTGTTCCCACAAGGTTTAAGAGAAACTTAGTTAAGTTTTGTACCGCGCTGCCCGCGGGCAAAAATAAAACCCATTCGGGCATGGCATGCGTTAGGGAGGCATCGACCCTAAACGCATTGCCTCTATGTGTTTAGGGTTGATGCATCCCTAACGCATGTTCTTCCTGTAGGGGTTTTATTTTTGTCTGCGGGCAGGGTAGTACATGTGATTCACTAAGCCTAACTATATTTCTCTTAAAAATTGTGGGAACAATAAAACAAATCGCGGTTCCTACGATCGAAGGCATGCCACGTGGCGAAAATAAAACGAACCGCGATTCCGCGGGATTGAGCAAAACTCTCTTTCTTTTCTCCCTCGACCTTCACCGTTCTGTTTTCACGGCTCCACGATTTGAAAAGGCCGACACTTGGCTTGTTTCCTCTGGTTTGTCTCAGTAGATCGGGTTTGCTAGCTTGCTTTTGTTGCTGATGTTTCTTTAGATTTGGACGTGATGGCAGCAGCATATAAGTCAGGTAGATACGACGGATATGGCGTCTCATTCGATTCGCGGTCGGGGTATTACGAGACTCCGCAGCGAGAAAGAGACGGCGCGATGTCTGCCTCGGACGAGGAGAGCCGTTATTGCAATCTTAAAGCGGACGCGCAGGCAGCAGCATGGAACGCATCAGCAGAGCCAGCGGGACCATCGCCATCCTTGGCAAAGGCAGCGTCGTGGCTCATGCGCAAAGGCAGCCCGCCTGTCGATGTCACACCGCCTGGCCTCCTGCCGGCGTCTCCGTCTCGCAGCTCAGACGGCCAACCGTCCGCTCAGTCGGTAGACCTCGACATGGACGTTGGGGGGCCAGCAGCGGAGCAGCCGGTGGGGCGGTCAAGCGCTGTGTGGTTGCCGCTGCCGTCGCCGCGCGTGCAGGAGGAGTCCGCCGGCTTGGCAGCGCAGGAAACGAGGCGGCAATCATCGGGGGTGGTTGCGCGGAAGCAGCCGAAGAGCGAGAGCAGAAATGTTCCCTGGTCGTTTCACCAGCTGCTTCAGGCGGACGCGGTAGGCGAGGAGCGCGTGGAGGCGGCGGAGCAGAGAAAGCAGATCGCGCGGCGAAAGTCGCTTGAGACGAGAAGGGTGAGCAGAGAGGCACGTGCTCGACAGCAGGACAAGGAAGCCAGGGCGGCGGCGCGCGATCACTCGTTAGAAAGAGTAGCGCGCCACCGAACAGCGAACGTGGATCGGAACCGTTCGATCCAACTAGGTAGCACGCGAGAGGCGCGGACGCGTTGGCCGCAACGACGAAGCGCAGCTGAGCGCCGCGCAGACGACAAGGCAGCGGCGAGTTCGGACAGCTCGTCCGACAGCGAATGCGAAAGTAGAATCGAGGGCGCGCGCAGGGGGCAGGAGGGACGCGAGGGGAAAGGAAGAGAGGCGACGAACGATAACCCAGTGAGGGCCATGAGGGAAGGAGGCAAAGCGACTGATTTTCTGCACGACGGGTTGGGGGCCGCCGTGGGAGAGGAGTGGGGCACGCGAGACGAGGGGCTTGAGGTAGAGGGGCCGGAGGACGCGGCGCGTGATATTGGCATCTTGGTGATGGGGCACCCCGTGCTGCCGCACGACGTGCCTGCACGCGGCGACGCTGAGCACTGGGACAGTGAGGCGGGGGGAGAGAGGGCAGCGGGAGTGCGCGAGGGGGAGGGGGGGATTGAAGGCCAGGTTGAGAACGAGGGCGCGGCGGTGCGGTTGGCGGGGTTACTAACGGACGACATGTTGCAGTGCAGCTTCATGGACCCGGGCAAGCGCGCGCTGGGCCTCGCGCACGACGACGACCACGACGAAGCTGCGCATAACCGCCGCGTGCGCGCCAGCGCCAATGATCATTTGCACGAATCGACTCATCGGACCAGCGAAGCCGCCCTCTCACACCACCTCCTCTTTCCTCCGCGCTCCGACGCCTCGCCTGCGTCTGCGCCCGCTCTTCATAACTCCTTGCCGAGCGCCACCGATGCCCCGCGAGGCGGTCTCGTGTTCGGCGTGCCCGTGTCCGCCCCGCTCCTTGCCTCCTCCGCTTCCCTGTCGGCCTTTGCCCCCACCGCCAATTCTTCCGCCACTTTCGGAACACCCGCGGTGACACGGCTGCCGCTGTCGGTGCTGCAGCACGGGTCGCTCGTGTGTCTGCTGGCCGGCTCCTCGCGACTGGCGGCCGTGCGCTATCAAGGAAGGTACGTCCGCCAGACTACACGCCGTGCCGCGTGGGACAGACGAACGCGCGTGCACTCTGCTTCCTGACGCCTACGAAGCCGAGTGACAACACTTGCAGGCACGGCCGCTTTTCCAACTCATTCGATCTAATCGTAGCTTTCCCTTTTTCCCGTCCTACCCTTTGCCTCGTGCCATTCACTGACGGCTGGCTGGCAGGTGGGAGCTGGGCACGCCGACGCCGTCAAGCGTTGACGACGGCTCCAATGCCCTCGCGGCCTCTCCCGCCGACCCGCTCCGCCGCTCCGCCCACGCCGCGTCGCTGGCCGTGTGCGCGTCGCTCACGGGCGGGCTGGGCCGCTGGCCGCTGGACTGCCTCTTCGTGCTGCTCGTCGTCGCGCCCGCCCGCATCGCGCTGCGCTCCCTCGCCGCCGACGGGCGCTGCCTCTCCGCCGCGCTGCTGCCCGGCGAGCGCGACTCGTTCCGCACCTGGTGAGCGCCGCGTGGGGGGATCTTGGGGGAAAAAGGAGGGCGTGTGGTGGGGGGGGGGGAGAGGAGACGGGGAGTGAGATGGGGGAGTTGTGAATTGCATGTTTGTGCATGGGAAATTGAACTGCCTCATGTGTCGTACGGCTCGTCAAACCCCACGTGCCACTCACTCCCTGCCGTCCCACTGCTTGCCGTGTGCGCCGTGTGCGCGCGCAGGTCCGTGGGCGACGCGGAGACCTGGGAGGTTCTGCCCGCCGGCACCGTGGGGGAGGGGGCGGCGGCAGCAGGGGAGGAGGGTGACGGGAGTGCGGAGAGCGCGGGCGGGTGGAGCTGGGGGAGGGATGGCGTGGTGGAGGGCGGAGTGCTGCTGCGCAGCTGCGCAAGCCCCGCGCGCGTGCTGGACGTGGCGCTGTTCGGGCTGCTCGCCAAGACGCTCTCCGCGTGGCGCCACGTGGAGGCCGCCGCCGCCGCTGCGCCGCTGCTGCACCACCAGGTGAGTGGGGGCGGGAGCGGGCGAGTGAGGGCGAGTGAAGGCGAGTGTTGGAGTGGGCGTGAGGGGTGCGGGGGCGATCTGCCGTGTGCTTGCACGAGCTACGTTGTGTTTTGCGGTTGTGTGCTGCCGTGAGTCGACGGGTGTTGGCCTATGGTGACGTGTGCTCATGCGTTACCGTGTCTTACCGTCTGTCGCCGGGTGTCACTATGTGTTGCCATGCGGTGCAGGTGAGGCAGCTACACCATCGAGTGGGCGAGGAGGAGGCGGCAAGGCGAGAGGCGGAGGGGGCGATGGAGGAGCGGCGGCAGCGGTGGGAGGAGGAGAGCGCGCGCATGCGCGCGGAGGCGGACGAGCAGCGCGACACCATCGAGCAGCTCCACGACCAAGGTACGCCCGCCCTCGGCTGCTCTCCGCGCCATCAACTGCTCTGCGCGCAGTGCTCCGTGCACTGCGCGCGTCCGCGCTGCCATGTGTGAGAAATTTCCAACGTGAAGGGCACTGCGCTGCGCTCTGCTCCGCTCTGCGCTGCTCTCACCGCCACGTGCCCTGCCGCCGCACTTGGCGTCGTTCGCTTCTCTCCCCTCGCTCTCGCGGCCCTTCCATTTAGCCCCTCAACCACTCTCACTCTTCTCTTCTACGCATCAACCCGTTGTCCCCCTTCCGCGTTGTCCCCCTTCCGCGTTGTCCCCCTTCCGCGTTGTCCCCCTTCCGCAGTGAACTCGCTCGGCGCGGATCTCGAGCGCGCCGTGGCGCTGCTTGAGGCCGCCAGGCCAGCGCTGAAGGGGGCGCGCGGAGGGCCGCAGCGGGAAGCGGAGTGGGCGGAAGTGGATAGCATGGGGAAGGCGACTGGCGCGGAGGGCACGGGAGGCAGTGCGGGGAGTGAGGCGAGGGGAGGCGATGGCGGGGCACCGGCGGATGCGGACGACGAGGGGGAAGATGCTCGCGAGGCAGGGTGGGCGGACGCGAGCGGCGGAAGCGGCAGTTTTACTTCCGCCACTCCCCATGGGCCCCCCAGCCGTGCGCCTCCCACTCGCGCCCCTCCCGCCCCCGGCGCCAGTCACGGAGCGCCGCGGGAGGGGCAGCGCGACAGCCGCGGCGGCGGCAGCAGTGGCGCTCGCTCCCCCGTCACCAACGGCAGTTCGGCCGTGGCTCGCGCGCTCTCCGCCTCCTCCGCCTCCCCCTCCGACTCTGAGTCCGACTGCGGCAGCGGCGCTTCCCCCGGCCGCCGCAGACCCCCGTACGTCATTGCGGAGCAACCGCAGCTCCGCGCGCACTATCGGCCAGCCAGCGGCGGCGGCAACAACTTTTGGCAGGCGGCACGATCGGCGGGCGGTAGGGGAGGCGCGGAGACGCGGAACGAGAGCGATGCGGCTTCGGTACGGGCCGAGGGGAAGGGTGGCTCGCACGGCGCGCAGGGCGCTTCAGCCGTGGAGTCGGGCGTGTTGCTTCGCCGAACCTTCTCTCCCATGCGCGGCCGCCGCAGCCTCTCGTCGTCGAGAGCGGACGCGGGCGCAAGCCGCGGGGTGGGGGACGCGGGAGGCGCGAGAAGCGCGCTGCAGCATGTGATGGGGAGGGCTGCGGGGGCTCTGGGGGCAAGGGGGACGCGTGGGGGAGAGAGCGCGGAAGAAGGGCGGCGGGGTGCGAGGCATCCCGCGAGGGCAAGAGAAGAGCGCGAGGGGGCGCAAGTAGGGGCAGGGGGGGGCGGAGAGGAGGCGGTGGGAGTTGGGCTGAGAGGAGAGGGGGAGGCTCGCACGCAGCACGGGGAGGGCGGAGAGCGGATGGGCGGAGGGGGGGAGGGAGCTATCCGGGGTATGGCGCAGCGGGCGCAGCGTGGGGGCCCGGAGGCGTGGTTGGCGGAGCATCAGCGCGTGGTAGTGCTGGAGGAAGTGGCGGCTGGGGGAGAGTTGGCGCGCGGAGAGGCGGAGGAGGCGAGAGGGACGAGCGCCGCGAGTGGGGGGAGCGAGCCGAGCGGTACGAGCGGCGCGAGTGGCATGAGCGGCATGAGTGGGGTGGACGAGGAGTGGGAGGAGCAGCGCACAGAGCAGGGATGGGTGCTGCGCCCTGTGTCACGTGCAGGCGCGGGGGCGGGGCCAGGGTTGAATTCACAGGCTCGCTCGTATGGCGTGTGCTGCACTGCGGACGATGACGTGGCGGATGACGTGGAGGATGAGGTGGATTCGGAGCAGGTTCGTCAGTCACAGCAGCAGGCGCGGATGGGTGGGAGCGCGGGAGAGGGCAACGGGGAGAGCAGTGGGGAGAGCGGAAGCGACACTGGGAGTGGGTCAGGTAGGGGCGGTGCAGCAGCAGTGGCAAGGCCAGCGGCTGGGGCGGGCGCAAGCGGTGGGATGGTATGCAGCGGGGCAGCAGCTCGTGCTGCCCACACGGGCCGGCAAGGGGGGCCTGGCGCTGCTGCTGCTGCCGCTGCTCCCACTGGTGCTCGTGCCACTGGTGCTGGTGGTGCGAGCAGTGGATGCGCACGGGGCTCCACAGGGGGGGCAGGGGCACAGGCGCAGGGGGCGGAGGGCGGGCGGGCAGGGGAGGGGGCGGGAGAGGAGCCCCCCTCCGCGCTGAAGCAGCGTGTGGCGGCCCTGCGCTCGCGCGTCTCCGCCCTGCGCGCCACCTCCTCCTCCCTCCTCGCCCCCGCTCCTGCCACCGCTGCTGCTGCCGCTGGCGCCGGTGCTGGTGGTGGGAGAGGGGCGGGTGGCATCACTGCTGGGGTGGCGCAGGGAGGGGAGCAGAGAGGGGTTAGTGCGCGCGTGGGGGAAGGCCAGGGCGCAGAGGCTAGACGGGGGGGGCTTGCAGGCATACAGGAGGGCGGCAGTGAAAGGAGCGGCAGCGACAACAGCAGCATGTGGGGCAGCGGCAGTGCTGGATACAGTGCTGCCATTCCCACTAGCTTGACACACGCCGCTGCTGCTGCTGCCAGAGGCCTTGTGAGTGCGACTCACAGGCAGTTCGGTGCTGGCAGCCGGGCGGATGGGCGGCAGGCAGGGTGGCAGGACGGTGGGAGTGAAGGGAGGGGTGTGAGGCAGGGCGGGAGGGGCGTGGAGGAGGGGAGTGGCGGTGGTGGTGGGGAGAGGTGGGCAGGTGTGCTCCGAGAGAGGAGTGGCAATGTGCCGGAAGGACCACCCAGGGAGCTCAAGAAGCCAGCAGCAGCTTCAGCAGCAGCAGTAGCCTTAGCAGCAGGCAGAGCGCGCGCACGACCCGGGCTAGTGGCGGTGGAGCCGGGGGAGCGGCATCTGCAGTCGCTGCTGCCCGTGCGCGTGCTGGTGAGGGAGAGGGCCTCGCAGAAGGGGGGAGAGGCGGCAGGGGCGCAGCAGAGCAGCGGTGAGGGCAGTGTGTGGCACGTGGGCATGGAGCAGAGAGGGGCAGTGGGAAGGGAGATGCGTGTCGCCGGCCGGACTCTCTCGTCCACCTCGGCGTCCTCTGACTCGCACGCCCTCCCTGTGCTCCTGCACTCGCCCCGCCACCCTTACAGCAGCAGCAGCCCGCGGAGTGCGAGTGGAGGGTCGAGCCCTGCCCTGGGCTTGCTCACGCGCTTCCTCTCCCCCTCTCGCCGCTCCCCGTCTCACCCTAGCCACCACCAGCACCCAAATCAGAATCCACAGCAGCAGCAGCACAGGGGCACACAGTCAGGTGCTGCAGTCCCACAGGCAGCAGCAGCAGCGGGCATGCGGCGCAGCAGTCAGGGCAGGCAGGGCAGCAGCGGGCGGGCGTCGCCCCCCTCGCGGCGGCTGTGGGCCGTGGGGCGGTCCACAGAGAGGCGCGCAGAGGAGCGGCGTGGGGGGCGAGGGCAGAGCGGGGCGTGGGGGAGGGGCGCAGCAGAGCAAGCGCAGGAGGACTCAATGAGCAGCACAGGAGGTGAGTCGTGCATGAGGCAATGTTGAGGCATTCTTGGAGGTACCTCAGAGGCAGCGGCATGTGTGCATGGCTGTCTGGGCATGTGAACGCTGCTGCTGTCAGAATGAGAAATGCACTGCCCTCATCCCCATGACTGTTGCTCCTCCTGTCTCTGCACTGCACCCTTCCCACCCCTCTCTGTCTCTGCCACTGCTTCTCACGCTTATCCTTCTCATCCCCTTGCCTCTCCCTCCTCTGCACCCCCCTGCGCTCATTCTGTCTCTCCTGTTGCTCTTCTCCCTCCAGGAGTGTGCACGTAACTCCGTGCTCGACTACTGTGCCTGTTTTGTGTGTCTTGCCAATTTCAGTCAGTATTTATTGGTAGTTTGAAATGCAGCCATAAAAATACCCTTTTTCCAGCCTTTTTTTATTGCCTGGCTGTTCTTCCAGAGTGACTGACTTCCTATTGTATTGTGTGACTCATGTCTAGTGTCCTCTAGATTACAATGTTCAATTTAGTTACTCATCCTAAGACAAGGTGGCCACACAAAAATTCAGTTGCCTCAGCATTATTGTATTTGAGAGCTACTTTTATACTGGATTGCAGTTCTCATCCTAAAGATAATCAAAATCGCAGTTCAAGAAGAGCAGAGGTAACCAAGAGCACCTATACCGTAGCAAGCACAGCGATTGCTCGCTTGCTTGGCCAAGGCGTGGCAAGGCAAGAGCGAGGCAGAGCCAACGGGCGCTTAGGCGAGAGCCTTGGGCTTGCTCTTGGAGTTGAGCTGCACCTTCTTGCCCGTGGGCGGCTGCAGGCAGGGGGGAGGGGAGTAGGTGGGGTGGGCAGATGCGTTGGGAGGGTGTAGGATAGCTGGGAGAAAGGCACTGGGCAGCAGGCAGGGGCGGGAAGAGCAGGGGAGATAGGAAAAGGGTGTGTGGTAAGGGGCAGCAGGGCAGGGCAGGGCAGGGCATGGCAGGGGAAGGGAAGGGGCACTGACCACGGAGAGCTCCTCCTCGTGCTTGACGATGAAGCTGGTGTCCACCTTGCCCTCCTTGAACTCCCACAAGGGAGGGGCACTTACCACAGGCGGGTGCGGTAAGGTGGGGCAGGGCAGGTGGGGCACTTACAACAGAGAGCTCCTCCTCGTGCTTGAGGATGAAGCTGGTGTCCACCTTGCCCTCCTTGAACTCCGGCACGTCCAATATCAGCTTGTGGAAGTCGATGGTGGTGGGCACGCCTGAGAGGGGAATGGGGAGGGGATACAGGGGCAGCAGAGAGGGGGAGTCGACCGGGTGTGAGGGAGGCGAGGGAGAGAGAAGGGGTGTCCACCTTGCCCTCCTTGAACTCGGGCACGTCCAATATCAGCTTGTGGAATTCTATGGTCGTTGGCGCGCCTGGGGGGGTGGGGGTAGACAAGCAACACACGGGGGAGAGGAGGGTGTGAGTGAGGGAGGTAGGGGAGGGGGTGGTGGATGTGGAATGATGGAAGAAAAGGGGCTTAGTGGTATGGAGGTGGTTGGGGGAGGGGGGAGGGGAGAGGGGGGGAATGTACAGTGGTGGCGGTACCAGAGATGATTGTAACAAGGGGAAAGGGGCGCAGAATGCATGCGAGAGATGGTGAGGGAGGAAGGGGCGCAGTGAGCATACCTGAGATGATGGTGTCGTGCAGCGCTCTCTTCATCCTCTCAATGGCCCTCTCCCTCGTGGGCGCCCACACGATCAGCTGCTCGCCACCAGGATGAGTCACGGGGAGGGGAGGGGAGCACAGCGGGGGAAGAGGAGGGGGGAGGAAGGGAGGAAAAGAGTGGGAGAGGAGAGTAAGAAGGCAGGATGGAGTGAGAAAGCAGTGAGAGGAGTGATGAGCAGCACACCCCCGCTGATCGCGGCGGCCAGCTGCTTGCGGAGAAGCGAGTCAAGCGAGTCATGCAAGTCAACGCGAGTCCTCTACGCACCTTGCCGAGAAGCGAGTCATAGGAGGGCGGCATGAGGTAATCATTGTAGATGCGGCTGTCCATGCGCACAAACGAGGTGACTGCTGCGTCGACTCACAACCCACCTTGCCGAGTCAAACATGTCAAGCAAGTCAAGGCGAGTGCCCTACGCACCTTGCCGAGCAGCGAGTCATAGGAGGGCGGCACGAGGTAGTCGTTGTAGATGTGGCTGTCCATGCGCACAAACGGCCCCCCGGGCGGCAGGTACGCGGTGATGCGGCCGGGGCCGGGGCGGAAGTTCTGGAAGGGGTCCTCGGCGTTGATGCGGCACTCGATGGCGTGGCCGCGCACGGTGATGTCCTCCTGCTTGTACCGCAGCTTCTCCCCCATCGCCACTCGGATCTGCTCCTCTATCAGATCCACTGACGTGATCATCTCCGTCACCGGGTGCTCCACCTGCGCACACGGGGAGGGGGAGGAGGGAAGCGTGGGGGGGAAGAGGGGGAGATGGCAGTGTGGCACCAGAGTGTGAGTGGGAGGCAGCCGGAATCACATGTCATACTATGGAGGATGTATGAAGACACCCAGTCCTGGTTATTAGATGTGAATATGACTGCATATGCTAGTTCTCTGGAGATTGGGTGCTCAGTCCCCTGAGATATTCCTACTTGTTGTCCAAGTGTCCCTATTTCCCTTATCTGAATTTCGCGTGTTCATCTCTCACCCACAGAGTTCGTTCATTTTCCCACCTGTATCCTTGTGTTCCACTTTTCACCTGCATGCGCATGTGCATTACACCTGCATCCCCCGACCCTGCCCCTCCGCTCAGCTGGATGCGAGTGTTCATCTCCATGAAGTAGAACTCGCCGTTCTCAGCCAGCAGGAACTCGATGGTGCCCACGCCCACATACCCAATGCTCTTCCCTTGCACTCGATGGTGCCCACACCCACATACCCAATGCTCTTCCCTTGCACTCTATGGTGCCCACGCCCACATACCCAATGCTCTTCCCTTGCACTCGATGGTGCCCACGCCCACATACCCAATGCTCTTCCCTTGCACTCTATGGTGCCCACGCCCACATACCCAATGCTCTTCCCTTGCACTCTATGGTGCCCATGCCCGCCCATGTCCCCTGCTCACACCTGAACGCACGTGCATCCCCCACCCAACCCTCCTTTCCCCTCCTGTCCATCCCTTCTTCTCACCTGGATGCGAGTGTTCATCTCCATGAAGTAGAACTCGCCGTTCTCAGCCAGCAGGAACTCGATGGTGCCCACGCCCACATACCCAATGCTCTTCGCCGCCGCCACCGCCGCGTCGCCCATCGCCTTGCGGATGGCGGGCGTCAGCGCGGGGGACGGCCCCTCCTCCACCAGCTTCTGGTTGCGCCGCTGTGGTGGGGGGAGAGGGGGGGGAGGGGGGGAGCGCGGGAACGGGACATGAGGCAAGGGACAAGGGGCAGCGTGAGTAAGGGGAGAACGGGAATGGGGAGAAGAAGGGAGAGGGTAGCAGGAGAGATTGGTGGGGATGGGATGGGAGCAGTGGGGAGGGAAGATGTGGAAGGACGTTGGGACAGGCACACGGAGCGAGCGATGGGTGACTGACAAGTGCAGCAACAGGATGCTTGCCGCGTGCGTGCCAGGCGCGCGAGTGTTGAGATGCTCATTCACACAGCACACGCCCTCAACACTCACACCCTCCACGCGCATGGCATGGCGGCGAGCGCAGAGCAGGGAGGTTACCTGGATGGAGCAGTCGCGCTCGAAGAGGTGGATGGCGTTGCCGTACTTGTCCGCCAGCACCTGGTGGCGTGAGGGAAAGGGAGGAAGGGATGCGAGGGGCGCAGGGGGGATGCGAGGGGCGCAGGGGGGATGAGCGAGTGTGGGAACAGAATGACAGTATGCCAAGGAGATTGTTTGACAGGGCATTCTCGAACAACCAAGTCCACTAAGGCGCCACTGCAACCACCTAGAGCTGCAGTTCCCTCGCCCTAGCAGACAAGAAGCTCCCCTCACTGCACTGCACACACATCCCTCTGCCCCTCATTGGCTTCACCTTGGCGACCCACCAGCGCGATCCAAGACCATGCCTCTTTTCCTCGCGGCGTCTATTCCTCGCTGCCATTGTCATTGCGGTTGCTCACAATGCAGCTGCACCCCCCACCCCACGCTCTCGCAAGCAGCATGCCTGCCTGCCTGCCTCCGAACACAACCTCTGCTCCGACCCGCTGCACCTATCCGCAGTACCGCATTATTCGTCCCCCTCACCTGGAACTCCACGTGGCGGGGGCGCACGATGGCCTTCTCCAGGTACACCCCGTCGTTGCCGAACGCCGCGCCCGCCTCCTGCCGCGCTTGCTGCTCGCGCCAACCACGCACGCACACGGGGGACAGGGGGGTTGTGCGAGAACAAGAGGGTGGGCAAGTAGTGGAAGCGATCAAGGATAGAATCTCCGCAAGAACTGATACATGGAGGTCTGAGCTCGCAAAAGTACAAGGTCTGGTTTCTTGCGAAATAAACCAACGGACGTGTGTCGAACAACAAAGCACAGGCATGAACGTCTTATTCTAGAAGAGGCGCAACACGCTTATTCCACCTCATGTAATGAGCTCATCGCCATGCCATGCGGCCCGTCTAACCTGGTAGAGCTTGATGAAGTCCTCCCTCTCGAGCACGAGGCGCATGCCGCGGCCTCCTCCGCCCGCCGTGGCCTTGATCATCACCGGATACCCCATGCCGTCCGCCACCGACAACGCCTCCTCCACCGTCTGCACCGGAAGGGGGGAAGGGGAGGAGGGGAGGGGGGGGAGACGGGCGGTGTGGGTGGTGGGGAGCAGAGGGTATTCTGGTGCCAACTCCATGGTCGTGCTTGTCACTGTATGTGCATCCGTGCTCGCTAGTAAGTGTGCGAGAAAAGTTGAGTGAGAGTGTGCATGTGAGAGGGTGCATGTGAGAGGGTGCATGTATAGTTGTGCGCGTGAGTAGGTATGCTCATCAATCGTCGCACTCACGTCGATCAGCCCTTCGCTGCCGGGCACGGTTGGCACGTTGGCTCGTCGCATGGTCTCGCGCGCCGTCGCCTTGTCGCCCATCAGGCGGATGCTGTTGGGC